TATGTATTTGCATACCTCTGCGCACCCTGTTCGCGCAGACAGGTTACGTCATCAGCGCGTTCACTAATGCTGTGCAGACAGAGCGAGAATGGCAGACAAACATCAACAAGCCGATCTTCCTTCATGGTATTGTAGTACTTTTACTAACTGTACTATAAAGTTTTCTCACGGTGAATAACACATGATGTAGCCCAGCGGTTCCCAATTCCAGTCCTCGCGCAGGGGAGGCAGGGGAAATCCTCTGAAGTTTACTTCACTTCTGAACATTCATTCATGGATTTGCGCTGCGCAGCGTTTTCACACACAGACGACACTTACTAGAGAAGTGTGACATAATATACCTCTGTAAATAAATACTATTTAAATTCACGTCTCGCACACTTTAATGCCCTTTGTATGAAACGTATATGCTCGCTTTGAATTGGAATCATGGCGGAATATCCGGTGATGTACACTTCCCAGGGCACTTACAGTCGAATAGAACAAACGTCGCACGTGATAAGAGATACATATGAAATGTGCTGAGCAGGAGGGTGCGAGGACTGGAATTGGGAACTGCTGATGTAATGTTGTATCTGGTATTGTGGTCTGTCAGCGTAGATGCGTTCAGGGGGCGTGGCTTTGGACGGCGATTGCAGGGAGGGTGGGACGTTCGCTTTCAATGCTATCAGGCTAAAGTTGGCATTTTCCAAGATCTCCTACTGCACCTTTAATAAGTGAAACACCTCTCATTGTCTCATGTTGCTTATTGTATTTATTAATATTTTGAATTAGCTTTTATTTTTTTATTTAATTATTTTGTGATGTGCTGTTATGTGTATTAGTTTTTATATTTTTTATATTTCTATAAAAATTTCTGTTTCTATTTAGTCTTAATATATTTTTGTCAGTTTTAGTAGTTTTAGTGCTTCACCTTAAACTTATTTGTTTTTAGTTTGTATCTAGTATTTGTATTTGATTTTATTTCAGCTTCCTTTCACTTACCGAAACAATGTGTAGTCTTAGTTTTAGTTAACAAAAACAACACTTGCCCCATATATTTTCATTGTAAGTGTATTACTAAACCGTACAGATGGACAAATTAAACTTATTTTCTGTGGAAGTTGACCGCATGCCTTGGATATCTGTTGGATGGAGATTTTAATTATTTTTACTCGCAGTATATCTTCATAAAATATAAAGATTCTGAAGTCACAATTTTCTCCTTTTTTTAGGTGCTAAATATATACTAGCATGCCTTGGATATCTGTTGGATGGAGATTTTAATTATTTACTCGCAGTATATCTTCATAAAATATAAAGATTCTGAAGTCACAATTTTCTCCTTTTTTTAGGTGCTAAATATATACTTTTCCCTTCAAATTATCATCCTGTTCTGCTTCTCTCCTGAGGTGCTCTGATGCTATTTTTAAGAGGCCAGTGTAGTGGTTGATCAAGGAGGGCACTTGGTTTAATCCAGAGGTATTTTTAAGCTGCTAAATCTATTAGTACACATTAATGATTAAAGAAGCCGTGCTATTAGAAGACAGACAGTGATTTGCAGCACACCTGCCCCTCATAGTACAGCAGAGATGATGAACCAGTGAATAATAGTCCCTGGGAGAGTAGAATAGCTGAGCAGGTTTCACTTCCACATCATTATTGAGTAAAACCCTGCTGGTGCCTTCATATCATCCCTAATCCAAAAAGTTCTACATCATAAAGAAGAATCAGGGGGGTATTTTGACCCGTCTGCCTGTTGTGGCTTTCTGCACTGTCGGCATCTCTAAGCACTGAAAAACATTAGTGCAGAGAAAGACTAGATTTGGAGCTCATGCTCTGCCAGCATGAAGAATGACCGATCCGAGGTAGAGGAAATTTCGTCTGGAAGTTCAGCGATGTGCGACTTAAGCGATAGTTGCCCTGGTCGTCACAGTCTGTGGGAGTAGATTTAATTTGCCCTCTCCTTAATTCTGTTTATCCATGCTTAGCAAATGCTGTTATCTCCGTGTATTATTTCATAGGTCATTTATTCCCTACGCTTCCCTGATATGCCACTTCACGTGGGCAGATATTGATGAAGAGTTGTTGATTTAGTTGGCTTCGCCTTCTGGGGCCACTGCACACAGCTTTTCCTCTTTAGAGATGAGTTTGCTTCCTAATGCATTTAGAGAGGTGATCAAGCATCATTAAAGCAATTCTAAATGCTTTTAATCCTTATAAGCTGCTGAATGTAATAAAAAGACCTTAAGTAATGTGTTACATTGTATCAGCGTGGATTTCAATTTATATATATATATATATATTTTTTTTAAAGTTTATTTCATCCACACCTGAATTTTTGCGCATGAATGTAGTTCCATTAGCATTAGTCTTTAAAGGGATAGTTCAACCAAAAATGAAAATTGGCATCATTTACTCACCCTCATGTCGTTCCAAACCCATACAGTTTTCTTTCATCTGTGGAACACAAATGAAGATATTTTTATTGAAACCTGAGTTTTCTGTCCCTTCATTGAATATCTATTTACCAAAATGTTCAAGCCTCAATGAGTCCATAAAGTCACTGTAAAAAAAAAAATCCAAGTTTCCTGAAAAGACAACCACTTTATACAATAAACAGATTTCATTTAGGCTTTTATTGACATATAAACATTGATCAATGTATATACATAAGAGCACATCATATGTTGTAAACAAGAGTGTTGGTTATAGCTCAAAGTATACATCGGTTTTGACGCGAACGCTTAGCGCACAGCCAAACACTTCTGCTTTCATAGTATTCTCCATTTGATAGCATATGCAAACACAGGTGGTCAACACATGTGCACTAGAAAGTTAGATTTTTGTCCAGTGTTGGTCTGTGCCATTTCTCTCCAAAATTTGACCAATAAAAATGTCTTTGTACTTGTTTAAACTTGTTGCAGGTATCTCTTTACCAGCTCGTCAAGGTAGGCGTCTATTGTTGTTACATCTCCAGTAGTTTGTTGTTGTTGTTGTTTCAGTTGTTTCTTTTTCGACTGTTAAACCATGGGCCCTTTTGGACCAACTAATTAGTGCAAAAAAGGCATATGTGCGAGCTGAGCGTACAGAGTATGTGCGGTTAGAAAAATCGGGCTGTGCTGATGACAGTATTACGCAAAACCCTAGCATACTTGTAAAAACCGAAGTATACTTTGGGCTTAAGAAAAACTGGATGTTTATCAAATAATACTAATTATAAGCAATCAGCATTTATTGAAAATATTAGAAATGGTGCTAAGGATAGTTATTTGTCTTTGAAAACGTATAACCTAAACCTAGCTTCGATTAGGATCATCATAAAAGTAGATTGAAGAGTTTGAAATTAATTCTTGATACTATTTCTTTTTTTTTTTTTTTTTAGTGATGCAAGTAACATTTTTAACCATTTCCAGGGAGCCTCCTTGCTAATCTGAATCAGAACAATGTGAAATACGGAGTGGAGAGCGGCCGAACACCGTCTTTCATGCAGGGAGCAATGAATCCAGTATCTCCTAACAAAAACACTGGATGTGAGAAAATGATTCTGCTGATCTGTAACAGAGCCTGCACTGGCCATCAAGGACGGAGGTAAAATTATTGTCTTTCCAACATGCTATTGCTAACACAAGAGTTGAAGTTCCGTTATTTTTGACTCAAAGTCTTACATGGAGAAAATTGTGGTAATCTCGTTGTACAGAATATAAGACAGTAATGTAGCACAAAGTGGAAAAATCAATGCAGTACTTTTTGTTTGTTGCAGGTTCGGTCTTCCGTTTGTACTATATCTGGAGCGCACTGTGACATGGGATGTGTTACAGAAAGAAATTCTGGAGAAAATGCGTCACCTACTAAGGCCAGGGGTTTACGTTCAGGTCAGTGAAACCTCTACTTGCTGTTACACAAAGCTCTTGAAATGCATCTTTTTTTTTCATGTCAGTACAATTATGACTTTTTTTCTTGCACTTGTAATAAAGAGGATTGGTTATTGTAGGTTGGACCCTTTAGCTTGCGTGTGGTTGGAGTGGTTGGAATCACATATCTGTTGCCACAGGAGGAGCAGCCACTGTGTCACCCCACTGTGGAAAGGTTTGTAATGCATGACCACTGTGTTCAGAGCATATTGTGTGAACTTCAATTTCAGGTGTCCTACTAGCTTATTTGGACATGTATATTGTTTTACTGTTAGTGCACATAGACGGTTCTTCCACAGGCATGCAAATAGTCAGTACTTTTATTACAGCAGCAGTATTAACTACACAAACCTCCAAAGACTTTTATATTATGCTAGATGAATTAATGAGTGTAGATGAAAAGTTTATCATAGCTGCTTTAATGTGATCATTGATTTTAACAAATGTAATAAAACAAAGCTTGATTCTTCATTTTGATCTGTTAAAAAGATAGCTCGGTCAAAAATAAAAGTTATTTTCTTGGCAAACTTGTCTTTCCTCAATCTTTCAATTTTAGAGCATATAAATCCTGTGGGCCAGGAGGACCTCCTCATGTTAAGATTGTAGTGGAGTGGGACAAAGAGACCAAGGAATAGTAAGTAAAACTAAGCCACAATTAATAACTTGTCTATAGTGGTTTTTTTTTTTTTTTAGTGGCCCCAAAATAACATTTAGACAATTGAACCACACTTAAAAATTGCTGAACATCATTGCATTAGAGAGTTTCCCAAACTGGGATTTGAAACCCCCTGCAGGGAGTTAATAAGTTGATGAAACGCTAAAAATTAGATCATTAAATGAAATGATTAAATACAAAATTAAAATAAATACATTTTTAATAATAAAAATAATAAAATAGAATTAAAAAAAAAATAAAAATACTTATTTAAAAATATGATTTTTTTTGTTGGTTCTCTTGTCATGTGGTCATTAACTCTGAACATGCAAGTGTATTGTTAAATTATGGAAATATTATATTAAAATCTCAGGGGGTACTTTGATTTTAGGTCAAATGGGTTTAGCTGAAAAAAATGTTTAGGAACCGCTGCATTAAAAATAAATAAATAAATAATACAATTTAAAAAAAGGCTTTTAGATTGCTACTTCGTTGACTAATTTGTTTATTTGTTTGTCTAATGCAACTAACTTTTCATCTGGCCACCGTATACTGTCTGTAGGTTGTCTGTGGTCAGATCAATTCCTCAAGAGAATGTATAAATTTCAAGAAAATGCAATAAATACATTTCAGAGCAAGAAATTTCATTCAGTGAAGCTAGAAAAGAAGGGTAATTTAAAATATTTGTTGAAGTTCGACACTTTAAGCGTCAAAGAAGTTTCTTGACCACATGTGTGTATGTATTAAACATTCTCTGGCAGACTGTTCGAGAAAATATCTTGCAGAGATGAAAAAAAAAAAAAGTGTGTTGAAATCACAGTAGAGGATAGCAGACATGCTTGATTGGTCTGGCCTAGAGAGTTGTTTCCAGTGTATGTTTTGATTCCCACAGCTTGTTTGGACACACTGAGGAAGAGTACATCCCTGATGCTGAGAGTGTGTATCGGTTAGCCAGAGCTGGCCAGCTAAGGAAGGGTTTGAAACTGGCTGTGCTTTAAGGAAAATGAAGAAACAGCCAGATTTGTAAATGTAAAACCTCTCTGACTGATTTTGTTTATGTCTGCTTCCTGTATGCCTTCCAGTTGGCCCCAGATGATGCTTGGCGCTGCCCCCATTGTTACACCAAAGAGGAGCAGGTAAAAGTCTGGCATAATACAGTTTTATCCACGTAAAGGATCCGTTTACCCAAAAGGGAAAACTCTGTCTCTGTACTCACTGTCATGTCTTTCCAAACCTGTATGACTGACTTTCTTGTGTGGATCCCAAAAGGATAAATTTCAAAACTACTCCATAAAATGAAAATGAAAGAGGATCAAGGCTGTCGAAAGGTTTTCAGTGAATAACGACTTAAAGGAACACTCCACTATTTTTGAAAATAGGCTCATTTCTAATCAAATCACATCACCTGCACAAATGGTGCTCTCAGCAACTAGTGCAAATGTGCGGTAGAGTGGCCTGTGGTGAAAGTTTGGCTAGTAACAAAGTTTGAACCCAACTAGGTAGGGATGTAACGATTCACTTAACTCACGATTCGATTCGATTCACGATTTTGATTTCATGATCCTATTCGATTCACGATTTTTTACAAAATGAGATTTAAGACAAATTATAAATTAAATGTGTCCTTTTATTATTGCTTGGACAAAATGCTGCACATTTCTTTGTGAAATTGAAATATAACACTATAATATTTAAAATTAGAGATTAAAATTAATCATGATCCAAACAAAGATGCTGCATACATGCAACATGAGCAGTTTTTAATCTAAATTGGATTGTATAATTTTGAAATTTGAAGCAAAAACAGAATGGTCTGACTTCAGTTTTGTGAAACTACATAAAAAATGTCTGCATGAAACAGCCGATGAGCTGAATGAGACGCAGATACACTCTCTACCAGCAGGTGGCGCTTAAAGCGTTTTCTTGGTTTCCGCTGTTAGCAAAGCAGCGCTGCACTTATGTACTTTAATATGCATTTTACAGAGGCAAGATGTCAGGGCTCTACACTTACTTTTTTCTTTTCCTAACTTAAAAAATTTAGGAGCACCTTCTAATCAATAATCCAAAATTTTATCAAAATTTTTAAACAGTATTGCTGTTTTATGGGCCTGATTTAAAAAAAAAAAAATTTCCAGTAAAGACCCCGTCCTGCAGCCAATTTGAAAGATTTCAGTGGTCATGTCAATCATCTTTCTGATTACCTATGTAAGAAACTAAACAATCTAACCTTAACCTTAGTATAGCTTTGGTAGCACATGCTGTTAGGTAGCATTACTGTTTGTTGCAATCACATCCATCCATGATTTTTCTGAACTCAACTGAATCCATAAAGTCTTAAAGGGTGGTTCATTGCGATTTCACTTTTTTAATGTTAGTTAGTGTGTAATGTTGCTTTTTGAGCATAAACAATATCTGCAAAGTTACGAAGCTGAAAGTTCAATGCAAACGGAGATATCGTCCTTTAAAATTCTGGCAGTTTAATGACTACAAAAACGGCTGGTAGGGACTACAACGAGTTACTTCCCGGGTCCGTTACGTCAAGAACCCAGAATTTGACATAAACCCCGCCTCCGGGAACACGCAGCAAAGGGGG